CCCGGGGGGGGGACTCCCTAATATCAAAGGGCGGGGGTCCTCGGCGGAGATTGTGAAAATGACCCCTAAAAGGGACCTCTATTGTGAGATGATGGGCGTGGCAGTGCTGAAATTTCAACCCTAAAAGGGACCAATCAATAACAGGTCATTTTGTTTTGGTTTACCGATTTTATTTGTGTTTTTACACAATCATCGAACACCGTCGGCTCGTATTGAGTTTATGACGACGTTGCCATTTTATGACTGCTTAGGGTCGCCGTATACCCTAAAAGGGACCACAAAACACAGTTGGTAGGAATTCTTGTCATGATCACCCTAAGCGGGACCAAAATACTGATTTCAAACCCTAAAAGGGACGCCGAGGACCCCCGCCCTTTGATATTAGGGAGTCCCCCCCCGGGGATTTGATAGCCTTCTTGGTATTTCAGCCACGTGGGATTTTCTGGCAGACAAAGGTATTGTACTCCACCTCCTTTGTGAGTGTAGTGAGTTCCCGCCATAAGACCTGAAGAAATGGATGTAGGTAAAGTAACGCAATATAATGTAACGACTATTCTAACACACTTGCGTGACTGATTATCAACCTTCTGATCAGAGTGTGCAACAACAAGACTCATGCTGTGCTGACAATCAATCAGTCTAAACAAAACAGTGTTTTCCGCTCATGTTCAAACTTAAAATGCTGCAGAAAAGAATTGCAAACGGTTTTTTCATTGTATGTCATCTTGACAGAATCTTGGAGTCGAAATGTTCAAAACTTTGAAATTAACTTTCGAGTTTAGAACATTTTGTGATTTTACGTATCCTGTGGCTAAGTAAGCAATACATGTAACATGCATGTGTGTGTATCAAAGAATGCAAATTTAGAGTAGCAATGCACGATTGTATGTTAAAGTCGATATGACAGTAGTCTCGAGTGTTGAGGTATATAACTCAAACCCCTTCGCAATTTAAATATCGTAACACGTAATTGGATGTAGCATACTTCAAAGCAGTGAAGCACTTGGACATTCTCATATATGCAACATAGCTACGGTTGAGATCGAAATCTTTTCTCTGTTCCATGTTTTCTCTGACCATCCGCTACGTTATACGCCGATACAAAATTCTCAGAGAATTGCAACTGTATTGAATTTCTCGATGTCGTATGTAGCTTATTTACCTTTGTAAAGAAGTTGTGAGCCTCTTGGACAAACCGTTCTTCCCCATCGAAAATACCGCACTCCTCCACCTTTCGGCCCAGGGGGGCCTTGTGGCCCTTCTTTGCCTGGAGATCAAATGGGGCCCTTAGGTCCTGAATACGAAAAAGGTTCACTTGAGTTTTGAATATTGTATGTATACAAGAGTGTGTAGAAAAGGAATATGTCAATATGTCGGGCATGCATGTCTTGCAAAACAGACAAAACATTGAAACATTTATTGCTCAACCTCTTCAATTTCATTGTTTGTGTTATTTCCATATGGACACGTGAAATGTACTTAAGCAAACTACACTAAAAGGTTTTTAAATTATATTTTTTCGTCTTTTCGGTGAATCGTACTTTGGCTTTTATATTGAGTCACGAGTCAGTGAAAGGCACTCAAGTTTGTAAGCTTTATTATTTACAGCAGTTTCATGATTGGCGTAAAAGCAAAGTAAATTGGATGACATTATTTGTTCTGAGTATGGATATGCATTTTTTTACAGGAAGAAGATAACTGCTATTAATCATGAAAACAAGAGCCAAAATGGCATCACGCTCGGGGCCTTTTACGAAAAAAATTATCAGTGTGACTGCATGTGAATCAGAGGTGGTCTGAATAGCACCAATAACTTTTTTATACATTTATTTGGGACCGGGAGTCCTGTGACAACTTGTGTTGTCTAGCAATTCATTTCAGTTATCATTGCCAGAAATTTCGGACAAAATGGCGTCGGGCATGCGCATTTTGCATAACAATGGCGGCCATACAGCCATATAAAATGTATGGGAGAYGGTAAACTTTCCTAAATAAGAAATCTAATTCTTTATATTTCTCTCTTCTCTACATCGAATAATAATCGCGAATGCAGTGGTTACATGTTAGACCTAAAATGAGCTTCTAGAATATTATCCTCGTGGTTCCTCGGCTTCTGACTTTTTCTGCACTCAAAGGCCATACATTCTCTCTTAATTTGCTATAAATTTGCATACCTTAGTCACTTCAAGATGAAAATTGTATACGAAATCGTCGACTTGGACAACTTCTCCGCATCGGTTCACGTAGACGAGTGTTTAGCTGATTCAAAACAGCTTTTAGACTGCGATATAAAACTACTTTGAAGGTTCCCACGAAGGATGAACTTTGGTTATTTTCTAGGCTAGAAGTCGCCATGATATCTCTTAAAAATTTCAAAAAAACGCTTAAAAAAGAATCAAAACACACCAAAATAATCGCTGTGCTGCCATTTTGCTTTTCGAAGCTTTTATTGCATGCTGGGAAGCAATCAGGGAGCCCAAGGCCTTCCTTTTTTGATTTTCACGTTTGCAGTGGATTTAGAGCTCTTGGGCTTCCTGTGGCGAAACATAACAATAGAAATTGGAGCTTTTTTTGGAAAATCGCTCTATATTATCATATTTCTGTTTTATAAGCCTTTATTTAGTACTAGTATGTCTTTTCAAGCCGTATTTGTACTTTTTTTCTTAAAAATAACAACATTCTATGATTTTTGATAAATGTCCCAAATTTCTGGCAATGNCATTCAGGCTATACGTATGGCCAATAGTTGTCACGATGCGTTGATAAATGGGTTCCTTTACAAGCGATGGTAACAGCTGCAACTTTACTTTGTGCAAACTGCGCATGCCAGTTCCCTACCATATGGGTAAGGACAGGGAGAATTGGCCTGACATTGAAACATTGCCTGGACAAAGTACAGAAGTGCACCATTCTCGTTTTTGTTATTTCCAGGAACGAACTCAGGGTTTTTGTCAACACAAACAAAGCTACTTGAGCGAGCATGATTATGATGCTCTGACATGATGTAACCAAAGTATTCTCGTGTCCAGCCCCCGGGACACTCGTAGGATGCAGGGATCATGAACTTTGCCGTGCGGTTCGGGACGTAGCAGGCAGCGCAAGGTGCATCTTGGTCTTGGAGGTTTTTACCAAACAGTAAATTACCAAAGTGGTGAGTTTCGTACTCCGTGGGGTAGATAGTCGTAGCTTGTTCTTGATAGCCTTCTTGGTATTTCAGCCACTTAGGATTTTCTGGCAGACAAAGGTATTGTACTCCACCTCCTTTGTGAGTGTAGTGTGTTCCCGCCATACGACCTGAAGAAATGGACGGTTTGGTAATGTAACACAATATAATCTAACAAAGTTATTACCACAATTGCGTGACTGATTATCATGATTTTGATTGGCTGATCAGAGTGTACAATTACAAGAAAAAAATAGACGTCTGAAAACTGACATCTCTTTYGTGCATCAGTTAAAACAAAACAGTGATATAAATTGCTGCAGAAACAAATTACGCAGGTTTTTTTCGTTGCATGTCCTCTTACAATATCTTGGTGTCAAAATGTTCCAAACTTTGCAATTAATTTGTATCCACTCGAGTTTTGAGCATTTTATGACCATCTGTGTCACATGTGACCACGTGATTAATTGGCCGATAACAAGACGAAAAAGAGACTGGGTCCGAACTTCTAATTAGAATATGGTTCCAGAAAGAATAACCCCATCATGTGARAGAGCACCATWYAAAAGGCTTACTGACTAAGTTTCATGAGGTTTGAACTTATAGCAATAAAAAGTTACGGACATTCAAACCATGCCAAAATAACAAARAAATGTATGGTGTCCAGCCAAAGCGTCCAGCCAAACATACATTCTTTTCGAAATTTTTGAAAAATTGTATTCCCAATTCTAATGACTTAAACTTGCTCAAACTTTAAAGTTTAGCTAATTTATAAGTGCTTTGTCTATCGACAACAGATTTCTGTAAGATTGTATCACTTTTAAAATTTTCAGTCCCAKGCCCCTTCTCGTTTTGTTATCGGCCAATACATGTAATACGCATACGTGCGTATCAAAGGGAGCAAGATGTAGAGTTGTTATATCATAGATGAGTTATTAAAGACTACAAAGTCGATATCACAGTCTCGAGTGTGTCGAAGAATGGCAACTCAAACCAGTTCGCAATTTGAACATCTTAATTTCTCGATGTCATGTGTAGCTTATTTACCTTTGTAAAGAAGTTGTGTGTCACTTGGACAAACCGTTCTTCCCCATCGAAAGTACTGCACTCCTTCACCTTTGGGTCCAGGGGGACCTTGTGGCCCTTCTTTGCCYGGAGATCCCATGGAGCCCTTAGGGCCTAAATACGAAAAGGATTCACTTGAGTTTTGATCATTGTATCTATGTGTTTAGACTAATTCAAGAGTGCCTAGAAAAGGGATATTGTTAGACTACGTCTCCCTGAGATTTAGATAATAAGTTTATAGTAGATCTAATTTTTAAGTGATTCGTCACCATTTTAATAGTTTGGTCTGGAAATTGAAATATGTTAATTCATGTACCAGTAGTTTTAAATTACCAGGAATGATAAAATAATTATAAGCAATTACTATAGTTTAAGTTTATGACAGCGTTTGGAGGTATTAGTTACCGATATTTGCTACTTAAGCGGGGAATTCCCCTCACTATGGAGTTATTCCATAATTATTATGCGATGGTTATTGTTTATAGCTAGTATCAAATTATTATTTGTGTTTCGCCTAGGTTTGTAAAACTTACACCTAATTGAACAAACGTTGTCGAGTCCAAAAAGGTCAAATCATAGAAGCTAAGACCAAAAGAGTACTTGGGAAGACAACCAAATTGACTAATTTCATAACAAACAGCTCTCCAGCATAAAAGACTATCATGTTGTTAATCTTACTAGCTCTACTTGCAATTGTACTTGCTTAGTGTACACCGTATATGCAAATGTAATCCCAATTTAGTGGTACTCAAAGTCCCTTTCGGTCTTAGCTTCTATGATGTGACCTTTTCGAACACGACTACGTTTTTTCAATTAGGTGTATATCAAGCAATGTAAARTGATAGTAGTTAGTTCAGCCAGAGCAGGAGACGTGTCAAAAAGTAGAATAAAAGCCAGAAAGTAGAAGGAACGTTTTCACTGCCGCGCGCGCTGTCCGTTGTGGTCCAACAATATAGTACAACATACTTTATTAACATGAACTGATTGATTACAGGTATTGTCAAAGTTTACAATTTTCTGTTAATTAATTTAAATTTACTTGTCGTTAAATGTTGCAAAAATTACAAATGAATTCTTTTTTTTTTCTAAACATAACTGAAACAATATAGAGCCGTAGGCATATGTTTTGAGAAAGGTTGCCCTTGGTTCAAAAACATTTTAATAAATTTGGAAATGTAGAATATATAGTTAACGTTTCATGATAGGTATATGAATATAAATTTGATAGGAATATCTAATGGATTATACATCAGAAAGTTTTTCTTTTCTATAGCTGAAACATTTTGACAGAAATTTTGATAAGTAGAAAATTACATTATCATCTGTGGATTTCATTAATTTGGTTATATAATTTTCGGAAAAATCAATTTTGTCATTTAGCTTAGACTGAAATTCTAGGCGAAGATTGGAGTATTCTTGACAATCAGAAATCATATGTTGCTCTGTTTCTATTTCCTCATTATTGCAAAAAAGACAAAATCTTTGCTGTTGCGGTGTTTTTGGTCTAGTGTATCTTCCTGTTTCAATCGCTAATTTATCATGGTTACTAATTCTAAATTTCGTGAGTTGCTGTCTTTCTTGAAAGTTATTTATAGTAGTTAGATATTTTTCTTCTTCGTAGTATTCTTTGAATGTCCCATAAAAGGAGAGTTTAAATGAGTTTTTTACCATAATTTTCCATTTTTTAAAATAATTATTTTTCAATGAGTTTTCTAGTCCACTAATAAAAGCATTATTAAAAGGACGCTCAATCGAAACACACAACGATGAATCAACGGAATTTAGCACTTTTTTGGAGATTTGAAAGATAACAGTTTTTATTCTTCTTGAATAGGCAGTTARAMATGATTAAAGATTGTTTTGCTAATGAGTTGTCAGGTGAAACGACTAGATGGTTATAAAATTTAATGGTCAATTTATCGACAAAAACTCCTAAAAAAATCTTAAAAATATGTAAATTAAAAACAGTTGGATACCTAGTTGAATAACATCAATTCATGGTGACCATGATGGCCATTATTGATATCATCATTACCTTGTTTGCCCGTATTACCATCTTTTCCATCTTTGCCTTCTTTGCCAGGTGTTCCTGGCTGTCCATCACGACCATCTCGACCTAACAAGATAAGTTGTTAGTGCAAAATTTGAATTCAGCGGGAATTATTTGACATCGATTTCCCGGTCATTCCTTGTTATTTTGCGACACTTTGCCTACCGGTCAAAGATGGCTGCCAAAACCGTCACCTCATCTATCCACAGCGTATAACACAGGAAACCCATCATAGTGAACCTGATTTATTTACCGATCGCATGTTTGTTATTATTAGAAAAATGAGAAAATAAAAGAAAATCTCCAAAACATCTAAAAAAATTTCTGCCAAATTTCTAACCAAAAATAAATATTACCTCAGCTACTATAGCAACAAAGGCAGTTTACAGGAAAGTGAGTGAGTGAGCGACCGAGTGTCTTAATGAGTGACGGATACAATAACTCCCTACAATAACACTTCGATTGCTAACGCAATCTCCAGTTAAAAAATTGCCACATGACTGCTTTCAAACGACACTTCTCCTAAATCAGCTAAATGTTCTCCAACAATGAAGTTGAACATGTTAATGAAGTTTTAAAATTAACAATTGGTAGGAATACATTGAAGCAATCTTATAGGGGCGATCCATTACTAGACTTTTAGTGGGGAATGGAATATCTAGTTGGTGCAATAAATTTTTTTGGACTTCAGGCGCGTGCTTACGAAAGCTTTAGTGGAGATTTTTCGAAATTTTGTTTTTTTTTTGTTGAAATTTTTGTTTTCGTTCCTTCGGTCCGTGCAGGAAATTTATTTCAAAATCCCCCCCCCCCCCCCCCCCCCCCCCCCTCAAAAGTCTAATGGATCGCCCCTTACCTCGCAGTTCATTCTTTCGACTATTTTCAAGAGCTTTTATCCTGAAAGAAATTTTTKTTCATATTAAATAACAATAAAAACTTCAAGAAGTTCCAGCACGGAATGTGTAAACAAACACTCGCACAAACCGATTCATATATCTCAGGCATAGTGGAATTTAAATGTGAGTGCGTAGTAAATACCGAAAAGCAGAGTACTGGCGTATTTACGTTTAAATTACACAATWTATCTAAACTATGAATCAATCTGTGTTCAAGTTTTTGCGTTTGCATACTGCAACATCTTAAAGTCCATRAAAATATACAATATACTTTGAGCATTCAGAAAATTGTCCTTGATTCCATTCATGATGAATGGAATTTTGACCACCTTGATACTTTTTTCAAAATAAATACGATTTTGCTAAAGCTTAAATATTACAGTTTATAAATCCAATGGTAATATAATCGACATTTTAGTGTCGATTAATTCTGAATAAATTAGCAAAAAGGTTCAAATTGTTCATATTGCTCATATAAAGATGCGGTCACAGCAATGATTTTCCATTGTGTTACCTTATGAATTATTAATGATTTTGATAAGTTCAATTAAAAAATGAAATTTTAATTTTAATTTCGTCTTAAAAGACGGAAGATAGCTCTCATAGAGAACTAACTTTCTATCAAATTACATTGAAGAGATATGCAGAATAACGAAGCTACAAGGGTTTTAACTAGCGAGGGGTATTTAGGGTGTTCTCCGAGGTGCAACATGGTGCAAGCCGAGTGGTCTAGCTACTTGAAATGGGTGTAACTTTTCAGCAACGCATAATAAACCRTGTGGAGGTATCCTAGTAAATGAAAGGGGAACTCACTRGCTGCCTCATTGTCTCGATATATTGTTAATTAAAGTCCTTTCCTGATTCTGAAGCCTAATGGAATATTCGAATTATAATAAGACAGATTAGGAAAAAGTGAAAGCTAAGCATTCACGAGCGACTACTACAAACATTTATGAGTGTCGAGAAGTGCTAATGCTATATCATTTATGTTGTCTCATAACAAGTGCATGCAATCATTCAACGACAAAAAAAAATACATGTAGATTTACTAGATGTAGATTTACTAGATGTAGATTTACTAGATGTAGATTTTTTCCTTTTTCATATATTCAGTACTTTTACTCTCGGCATTGGTGTTTTTCATCAAGAGTATGCATTAGTGACGGCGATCGCAAAGTTAATCATTCCTAATGAAGTTTCATATATGGACTTACTGATTCTCTAGATTAGCAAGACGTGCTTCAAATTGGTGCGGGTAAACACTTCTGGTTTCAAGGTCAGCATCGCTTTGTGTCTCTTCGTTGCTTTCATCGGTAAAGACGACCGAAATCAGAACACAAAAAACAAGTACTTTAAACACAGCCATCGTGGTGACTTAATGCCGAGTGGTSAAGGAGTGGTCAAGTTATAAAATCAAAGGGCGTTCACATGCCCTCTTCTCATTGGTCGATCGATATGTTGTCACGTCATACCACCTTCATGTGCTTTTTCTCAATTGGTTGATTTTACTTTTCGCGGGATATATTACGTGATCCATCAGAAGTGGTTAATCTGCATATGTTCCCATAATTGTCTTTTTTCATAATCTAGTTTCGAATACTCCAGTTTCGAATTCAACAGATTTGACAACAGATTCTCTTGCGCAAAGACACAAAAGAGAGCACGAGAAAATGTCGTTATTACAATAGACTTGAAAATTTGCATTTTCCCCGAGTTGAGATTATCCCTGTATTCCCATAAGANAGTCCAAAATTTGTGACCCTCCCCTAAAGCTCATTTGAAAACATTCAACCCTCCCCAAACACACATCCAAAAAATGTGGCCCTCCCCACAAATTTAGTGGCCCTCCCTCCCCCCAATGAATAAAGATAACTCCCTAAATGTTTGTTTATTGTTCCACATTTGGTTTCTTCGCTGAGATCACGAAATATTATTTTTATATTCGGAAAAACATCGATCCACTGCATCAAATCATTATCATGACAAGCTCAAGCACAAGCAAGAACATTCTAAAGTTTGTATTTTTCGGACAATTATGTGTGTGATTTCATTATGTGTTTCATTCAATAGTTTTATAGTAAACTGTTTTAAATTCTATTTGATGTTCTTTCCTGTCTTTTTGCATACAAAGATGTTGTCATAGAGAAAAAGAGCATTTCCATTTGATACAATACAAAAATAATCCGGATAAGGGGGTGTCCAAAGTTATTTAACACGTTTCAAGAGACACATCCCAAGGGGTCTAGAGTTCACCATACCGTCTATAACAGAATCACCAAATCATACAAGCGAGTACCTTACAGATATATGAACTAACAGGAACAAGCAAAATATCAAAAAATTGCTTTATTCGGTGTTGTGCGGTGTTGTTTACTTACATTGTGTAATGACTGGCAAGTGTCACGTTAGAGTTACTTGCGTTAGAAGTTTTCAAATTAAAATTCAGGTTATATGTATAGCCAATAGTTGTCACGGTGCGTTAGTGAAATGCATTACATGTTTTTTCATTGTATGTCATCGTATTGACAGAATCTTGAAGTCAACATGTTCAAAACTTTGCAATGAACTTGAGTCATTTTATCACTATTTGTGTCGTATGTAGCTTATTTACCTTTGTAAAGACGTTGTGAGCCACTTGGACAAACCGTTCTTCCCCATCGAAATTACTGCACTCCTCCACCTTTGGGCCCAGGGGGACCTTGTGGCCCTTCTTTTCCTGGAGATCCCATGGGGCCCTTAGGTCCTGAATACGAAAAGGGTTCACTTGAGTTTTGAATATTGTATGTATACAAGAGTGTGTAGAAAAGGAATATGTAAATTAAAAACAGTTGGATACATAGTTGAATAATTCAATTCCTGGTGACCATGATGACCATTATTGATATCATCATTCAGTTGTCTGCCCGGATTATCATCTTTTCCATCGTTGCCATCCTTACCAGGTCTTCCCGGCTGTCCGTCACGACCATCTCGACCTGTTATAATTAACAATTGGAATGCGCAGTCTTAGTAACACAGGTCAAAAACGCGGGACGAGCTAAGGAGAAGAAGAAGAAAAAAGGGAAACCCCAAAAAAACCTCCGATGATGATGTCATTGAGTCACTCGATTCACGGTCTAATGATAACCAAATTCTCTCGCTTCAACGAGTTGCACGTTGTTTTTCGTGATGTGAGCTTGATTATTAGCATTCAAAGTGAATATTAAAACTTGGGTTGACTAATCAGGTTCCAAGGGGTGTACATACATGACTGCTTTCAATGACACTTCTTCGAAATATCCCCAACAAAATCAATTTCAGCTAATAMGTCGTCTTTTGCGTGTGTGCAATTTGATTGCAGCATCTTCTGGACCAATGAGAATTTATTTAACTATTGATGGTTTTCAACCATTCCCATGAGAGTGAGCAAAACAAAAAGGTCCACAAGTCACGGCTGGTGGTTTTCTTTTGTCAGGTCCGCCAGTAATGGCGGACATCTTTTGTTCAACTTTCTCTCCTGGGAATGGTTGCAAACCATCAATAAATACTTCCTAAAAAGAATTGAAACTTTTGAGTTCAATGAAGTTGAATATTCATGAGGTTTTAAATTTAACAATTGTAAGAGATACATTTCTCTTAACATTGAAACAATCTTACCTCGTAATGCATTCTTCTGACTATCTTTAAGAGCTTTGATTCTAAAAGAATTTTTCAGACGCTAGAAAAACTAAATATAGACTTTTGTCTCTCATTTTTCATATATTTAGTACTTTGTTTTCCATCAATATGCTTTAGTGACATCTCACAAATCTTATCATTTATAATGAAAACTATGTGGACTTACTCCTTCTCTAGATTGGCAAGACGGGCTGCAAATTGATGCGGGGAATCACTTCTGGCTTCAAGCTGAACATCACCTTGTGTCTCTTCGTTGCTTTCATACTTACCAGACGCATTGAGAGAGTGTACTCGGGCATGTCTTGCAAAACAGACAAAACATTGAAACATTTATTGCTCAACCTCTTCAATTTAATTGTTTGTGTTATTTCCATATGGACACGTGAAATGTACTTAARCAAACTACACTAAAAGGTTTTTAAATTATATTTTTCGTCTTTTCGGTGAATCGTACTTTGGCTTTTATATTGAGTCACGAGTCAGTGAAAGGCACTCAAGTTTGTAAGCTTTATTATTTACAGCAGTTTCATGATTGGCGTAAAAGCAAAGTATATTGGATGAAATTATTTGTTAAGGCTGAGTGTGATATGCATTTTTTACAGGAAGAAGATAACTGCTATTAATCATRAAAACAAGAGCCAAAATGGCATCACACTCGGGGCCTTTTACGAAAAAAATTATCCGTGTGACTGCATGTGAATCAGAGGCGGTCTGAATAGCACCAATAACTTTTTTATACATTTATTTGGGACCGGGACTCCTGTGACAACTTGTGTTGTCTAGCAATTCATTTCAGTTATTTCAAAGAGCTCGAAWGTTGCTATTAATAAAATGTGTTTATATGCCATTCTATTGACCAGACATTAAAGGGATAAGACATATTCTTGTACGCGCCAAAGAACGGAACCTAACAACAGAGGCTCTGTTTCATAGAGTTCAAGATATCAGATGAAATCACCAAATCATACAAGCGAGTACCTTGCAGATATATGAATGAACAGGAACAAGAATAATATCCAAGAGTTGTTTTTATTCGGTGTTGTACGATCCTATATTTACTAACATTGTATACTGACTGACAAGTGTCGCCAGTGTCACATTAAGAGTTACTTGCGTTACATGTTTTCAAATTAACATTCAGGYTWTACGTATGGCCAATAGTTGTCACGATGCGTTRRTAAATGGGTTSYTTTACAAGCGATGGTAACAGCTGCAACTTTACTTTGTGCAAACTGCGCATGCCAGTTCCCTACCATAWGGGTAAGGACAGGGAGAATTGGCCTGACATTGAAACATTGCCTGGACAAAGTACAGAAGKGCACCATTCTCGTTTTTGTTMTTTCCAGGAACGAAYTCAGGGTYTTTGTCAACACAAACAAAGCTACTTGAGCGAGSATGATTATGATGCTCTGACATGATGTAACCAAAGTATTCTCGTGTCCAGCCCCCGGGACACTCGTAGGATGCAGGGATCATGAACTTTGCCGTGCGRTTCGGGACRTAGCAGGCAGCGCAAGGTGCATCTTGGTCTTGGAGGTTTTTACCAAACAGTAAATTACCAAAGTGGTGAGWTTCGTACTCCGTRSGGTAGATAGTCGTAGCYTGKYCTTGATAGCCTTCTTGGTATTTCAGCCACTTGGGATTTTCTGGCAGACAAAGGTATTGTACTCCACCTCCTTTGTGAGTGTAGTGTGTTCCCGCCATACGACCTGAAGAAATGGACGGTTTGGTAAAGTAACGCAATATAATCTAACAAAGTTATTACCACAATTGCGTAACTGATTATCATGATTTTGATTGGCTGATCAGAGTGTGCAATTACAAGAAAAAACAGACGTCTGAAAACTGACGTCTCTTTCGTGCATCAGTTACAACAAAACAGTGATATAAATTGCTGCAGAAACAAATTCCGCAGGTTTTTTTCCTTGCATGTCCTCTTACAATATCTTGAAGTCAAAATGTTCCAGCTTTGCAATTAATTTGTATCCACTCGAGTTTTGAACATTTTATGACCATCTGTGTCACATGTGACCACGTGAGTAATTGGCCGATAACAAGACAAAAAAGAGACTGGGTCCGAACTTCAAAATCTAATTAGATAATGGTTCCAGAAAGAATAAACCCCATCATGTGAGAGAGCACCATACAAAAGGCTTACTGACTAAGTTTCATGAGGTTTGAACTTATAGCAATAAAAAGTTACGGACATTCAAACCATGCCAAAATAACAAARAAATGTATGGTGTCCAGCCAAAGCGTCCAGCCAAACATACATTCTTTTCGAAATTTTTGAAAAATTGTATTCCCAATTCTAATGACTTAAACTTGCTCAAACTTTAAACTTTAGCTAATTTATAAGCTGCTTTGTCTATCAACAACAGATTTCTGTAAGACTGTATCACTTTTACAATTTTCAGTCCCAGGCCCCTGCTCGTTTTGTTATCGGCCAATACATGCAATACGCATACGTGCGTATCAAAGGGAGCAAGATGTAGAGTTGTTATATCATAGATGAGTTAAGAAGACTACAAAGTCGATATCACAGTCTCGAGTGTGTCGAAGAATGCAACTCAAACCAGTTCGCAATTTGAACATCTTAATTTCTCGATGTCGTATGTAGCTTATTTACCTTTGTAAAGAAGTTGTGAGCCACTTGGACAAACCGTTCTTCCCCATCGAAAGTACTGCAATCCTCCACCTTTGGGTCCAGGGGGACCTCGTACCCCGTTTTGGCCAGGAGATCCAATGGGGCCCTTAGGGCCTGAATACAAAAAGGGTCTAATTGAGTTTTGAACATTGTATGTATTCAAGAGTGTGTAGAAAAGGAATATTGTATGTATACAAGAGTGTGTAGAAAAGAATATTGTTAGACTACGTCTCCCTGACATTTAGTACAGAATCCCATATCCCATATCACACTCGCGTGCTAATTGGTCCGAGATGACGAAACTGTGACGTACATAGTGAAGGATTCAGCGCGGAATCCAACGCTTTCAAAGCTGAATTCAAGGAAAAATCAGGGATTCCGCGCGATTGATTTTTGTTTTGTCGTATTTTGATCTTTTCATGTTTTTTGACAAATAACAATTTAAAGTAACAAGAATAGAAGCTATTTTCTTTGAGAAACCAAAAATGATATGCATGCTTTGTTACAATATCGCTTTTCTATAAAAACGGATTGAAAAGCTGAATTCAATGAAAAAGTCAGGGATCCCGCGTTTTGTTTTGTCTTTATTTATCGACAAAACTTATTTCACCAAAACAGACGTTTTACTCTTTAGTTACCTTACAAATTCCTAGCACCTAATACAAATTAACAATTTTGCTTAGTTTGCCTGATGACTTTAGAAAAAAAGTCAGAAATTTTCACACACTTTGTCTCGTTGAGTACTCAGCGCGTTTCGGTTTTGACTATCAACAACTGCAAGATCAAGTATTCGGGTTTTATCATTCAATGTTGTAGATTTGGCGGCCAATAAGGAAACAAAATCACTAAAACTGTCTTTTAGAGGCAGCATTTATCTATCGTGATACAGCTGTCGAGGTACACAAAACTTTCAGTCGACGCGTCAAAAATATGAATTGACTTTTCATTTGCTCTAGCAGAAAAGATTAATACTTACTCTTTTAAAATCTAAATGAATCCAAATCTTCATTTTATGTTATCAATATTTTTACAACTTGAAAGTCTTGGATGTGAAGGGCAAATTTACCACTGTTTGTTGTCTATTGGCATGGCTGGACTCAACAATGAAAACACTAAACTGGCTTCGTTTCCGCCGGGTACGCACAAGACGTTTAAAATGCCAGAATGGCACTGTATTTTTCCCCGCCAGAATGGGCTATTTCTTTAAAGATATGGAACAAGAAAAATTCGTCGGATGACTCGGGAATTTTACTCGGGGATTTCACTCGAAGAAACGATATCGCACTCGCCGTAGTTGCGACTCGTGCGATATCATTTTTCTCGTGAAATTCATTGGGAAATTCACTAGTCATCCACTGAATTTTCTTGTATAAGTTAATACTCCAGTTTCAAATTCTATTCTGCGAAAGCTTAGCTTCAATCAAGCATAAGTTTTTATTATATTCTTATCTCGACCGAATATAAATTATTTTCAAACTAAATTCTATTTTCAAACTTTTTTCAAACTAAAGTGATTCGTCATCATTTTAATAGTTTGGTCTGGAAATTTTAATCATAATTAATATGTTAACTCATATACCAGTAGTTTTAAATTACCAGGAATGATAAAATAATTATAAGCAATTACTATAGTTTAAGTTTATGACAGCGTTTGGAGATATTAGTTACCGATATTTGTAGAGTACGACTTAAGCGGGAAATTCCCCTCACTATGGAGTTATTCCATAATTATTATGCGATGGTTATTGTTTATAGTTAGTATCAAATTATTTGGGTTTCGCCTAAGTTTTTAAAACTTATATCAAGCAATGTAAAATGATAGTAGTTAGTCCAGGCAGAGCAGGAGACGAGTTAACAAGTAGAATAAGAGGAACGTCAAGAGTACCCAACGACTCCGCTCCACAAAATAACCGCTCAACATCCTATTTTTTGACTGGCTGGCAAATCGAATTTTTATGTTCCTGGCTGGGAGATTTTAGAATTTAGTGCACTGCTGGAGCAGATAGTTCAGCGCTGGCGGCTGGGAATTTTCAATTTGTGCACCTAACTGAGACATCAAATTACAGGGATAAGCGCTTTGCAAGGAGCTATTTTTGATTGTATTTTAACACTCTCTCTTTTCATTATGCTGACATTATGTAATATAAACCTTTGACAGTTGCCATAGTGTACAGGGATTCTCAGGATTTGATTGGTATTTAGTAACCTTACTGACCTCCGGTTTGAACTAGTCGGTTGAATGCTCACCGACCGGTTAAATAGGTTGATCAAGCAGTTTCGAAAAAGGYGCCTTTTCTTTTTTAATAATATGCAGTCTACAATATTCTTCAACCACTCAAAGTATAATTCTTTTCATGAATTATTTCAGTCGTTCAAGTGTTTCTATTTGTCGGACTTGGAGTTCATTTGTTTGAGAGGAAACCATTAGCGCGCAATTTTCAGTTGCAATCTCAAATTCAAGGACGTCAAAACTGTGAACGCCGAGGTTTTCTTTCTGGTCAGTTAACAGTGATTGCTTTCACTTTAAACACTAGTTGGAACTGATTTCCCTTCAGCGATTCAAACCTTCAAAACGGTAAGGAATATTACTATAGTATACTAGCCTGTGAGAGTTAAGTGTCACTGACTAAACCGTTATTATTCAGCGGAATTTTAGTAGATTTCAGAATTATTCTCTTCATTTGCAAGAATGCCAATGACTGAAGAACAACAGTTGTGATATGCGAACCAACGTTTGTATACAACGTTGTAGATTGCAACGATCGTGAGTCCATTTTCTATTATATCATATTTGTCAGTTAATATCAGTAATGAATATGCCACTGGCCTTGACTTCTCGTGCGATTATCAAACGTTGTTTTTGGCTATAGAATCCAGCTGTCTAATATTGACTATTCGATTAGGTGAATGAATTTTTTTTTGGTATTAACATTGATGGCAAAATATGAGCACTTCCACTATTTGACGTCATCATTACAAAGCGAGCCCAATGCATAAAATTGTTGAAAAAGCAGAGTCCACTGCTGGAGTTGGCGATGTATATCACTACTAAAAGTTGCAAATTGAAAAAATTCTTTTTGATTTTCATAATCTGAAGAGCTATATGAATGTTTTGAACTACATTTCACCTGGGACCTCAGAGTCCATTTAAGAATTTTCAATGCGCTAGGTAATTTGAATTAAAAATTATCGTTATTATGCCTGAACGTATTTGCCGTTGAAATCCTTTCCATATTAGGGTATCAAGGATCGCAGTTTCGATTAGGTTTTCGATTGAGATGGCTTTTGCTGCGCTTTGCGGACATGGCTGTGAATTTTTGATGCGATTGTCAGAAATGACTTTTGCTGGGATTTTTATGGACGTGTCTTTGAGGCCTGCGGGGATTGCCGTTGAAATCATTTCGATATTAAAGTATCAAGGATCGCAGTTTCGATAAGGTTTTCG